TGCTGTGGACAGTTTGGAAAAGGAGATGCAAAGAGACAATTGATAACCAGCAGGTTGCGGTGGAAGAGGCCTGGAAGGGAGGGACTCATGCAAGTACTGGAAACTGAATGCTTAACAGACTGGCACAAGGAAAAGAAGGAGATCAAAAAGAATCCGGACAAGAGGGCATCACGGATAAATTTGCGAAGAACACACTAGGCGCAGGAAAGATCGGAAAGATTGTAACCCTGGAAGGGGGCAACAATCAAATTCAAATGGAAAGGTTAATGGCTCTGAAGGGACAGCTGGATGCACACACACGTCAGGAAGCAAACGGGATCCGGAGTGTATTCGTGAAGACAAGCATTATAGTTTGGGATCAAGATAAATATCGAGGCCAGCCGAGGCGCTTAGGGTAAGGAAGTGAATAGGGGCCAGCAGGCAATGCATTCAGCAGAGGTGTTCACTCTTAAGATGGGTAGCAAGCTGTTTGAGAGAGCTGTTCGCTTGGTTTTGCAGTCTGTTTTTGGAAAGGGTTGCCTAGAATAGGGATCGGTTATGGTGGGGATGACTGGGCGCCACTGACGGTACTGGGCGCCACTGACGGTCGATCCTTTCCGAAAGTCATCGATGCTGTCAAGGCTCCATGGCTCCATGGACCGTAACACGGGCACGCGGGTGGGTCGACGTCTTACATTATGTTGACTTCCCCCCAGCAGGTTCTGCTCCCCGCTAAGAGAAAGGAGCCAACTTCGCTTGGTTTTGACGTCTTACATTATGTTGACTTCCCCCCAGCAGGTTCTGCTCCCCGCTAAGAGAAAGGAGCCAACTTTGGTTGAAAAGGAAAACAAGCAAACGAACTGCCGATCAGCATTGATTACTTCCATGCAGGTTAACTGACGGCCATGGAACTCCTTCTTTTCTGGATATGAGAAGACATGGAGACCTTGGTCAGTGTGAACTGGTGCCCAAATCGCCCTTCGACTCTCTCGTTTGCAACCCCATGATGGGGAGATGATAATCTATTGTTCTCCTTCTTTCAATTTAGCCGCCTTGCGTGCAGAAGCAAACCCTTCCCCCCCCTTGGCCCACTGCCTGGCATTTTCTTCGCTATCCCATGATGGGAAGATGATGATAAATTATCTCCACATTCTCCGCTTAACCGTCTTAATTGATCAACACAACAATCTTCCCTTCCTGCCTTCAACATATTCCAATTCCCTATCACTGCCCCAAAATGTGTAGGCGATCTCTCATGTCGTCCTCCCTCTTCTATGCTGGGCTGTCTTCTTCCCGCCCCCCATCATGACACTCTTGTTTTGTTTTCCCACTCTTATGCTGGACAGCTGGACAGCCCAGCCTGTACTGAACTGAATACTTGGATGAAGTGCTGATAGTAGCCCACCAATCCAAGGAAGTAATGTACGTTCGTAACACAATTGGGCTCAGGCCAGTCCTGAACGACCTGGATTTGTCCTAGAGGAGACGGATGCACTGAGGTGTGTTGATATGGCAAAAATATTGAAGTTCCTACCTGACTAACTCGTGTTTTTTGCGGTTCGCTTTGTGCTTGGCCAAATGAATTCACTCCAAATGAAGTCCTCGACCTGATTCACTTTGTTCGGGTACTGCTCCACACACACAAATTGCATAGAGAGAACAAGCAGTGGTGCTGCAAGCCTGCTACCCACCACCTCCTGCCGCTCGTCCAGCAAGCTGCTACCATCTTCCCTTACATAGAACATGCTGCTATGATCCCTGCTTTTTCAATCACAACAACAACAGCAGCACCAGCACTGGCACCAGCAGCAGCACCAACAGCACCACCACCACCACCACCACCACCACCACCACCACCACCACCACCACCAACAACAACAACAACAACAACAACAACAACGACGACACCAACACCAACACCAACACCAACACCAACACCAACACCAACACCAACACCAACACCAACACCAACACCGCCATCGCCAGCACCACCACCACCACCAGAAGCAACAATAACAAAAACGGCAACGAATGATAATATCTCTGCCTCGACTTTATTGCATCGTCGATGAATGGAGAATGAAACAATGGATAAGTCAGTATTGAAATACATGACACACCGTATTGAATTTGATAAACCCGAGGTACAGAAGCAATTTTTGCCATCCCCAAACCCTTTAAAAAATAGAGTTGAATAGGCCCATTAACATCAGAGAAAGACACATTCATATCTAGGCAAGCCAAAATCCCGTAGACAGTGCCAGACACGGAAATCTTGGTAAACACTCAGCACAAAAGGTGGTGCTTTCTCAGAAAACACAGAGTTCTCAGACTGCAAGCTGCATTCGACATTGGGCCATCTTCCACAAATATTTGTTATGAATTTGGTTGTCTGTCGATTTCGATCAACACTCGCACTCAGACAATCCCATACATGCCCATACATGCATAAGAAGAAGGGGAGAGGAGACAGAGTACACACTGCACACAGACAGAGTAGTCAGCGGAAAACAATCATGCACAGTTGTGGAGACAACACTGAGTGTTCCTCACTCTCTGACGATACTCCCAACAACCAATCATAATTAGACACTGCGAGGATAACAAAAGAACGTAACCAAGTCTGAGCCAATCTGAACCAATAATCGTTACAGAGTTTATCCCAATCTCTCGCCACCACTGAACTCCACACTCCACTCTCACACTCACACCCTGTTAGTAGCGCTACGCTAAGACTGCCTCTCTGAGGCCAGCGTCAACCACCAAGATGCAGAGCAAGACCAGCGATGAAGTCCTCAGTGCCAAAGTAGGTACTCTGATGATGAGAGCTGCGGCTATGGCTGCAGCGCCACTGTCTCTGCTGCGCAGGTCACCCTGACGAAGTAGCAGCAGCAGTAGTCCACCCACAAACTGATGTATAGAGCCTCCTGATAGCCCCCAAACAATCCCAATCACCCTCAGGGGTGAGTGCTCAGAGGGCGCCCCAGCTATGGCGGACTTTGCCAAATCTGGTTATGGCTGTCAACCCTGACGAGGGACTCAGGATGCCGCCTGAAGTCAATCGTTCAATCGTCTGTTTCCTTCCTTGGCTCCGCTCCGCATAGTACCGCTGAAGAATGAAAATCCCAAAAGTCCTAAACAGACCTACGACAATCTATTAATAGGACTCCACGCTACCTAGACTAGGACTGACCGGTCCCGTTTCAGTTTGGGCCTCTAGCTACCTGGCTATAGGCTATAAGACCGCTGCTACGGGCCAAGGCCACGAGGGCCTCCCGTCCTAGTGATAGTCCGGGCCTGCTATTCGCAGTGTAGGCTCTAGGGAACTCGGCTCTGCAAATTTCCCAAATTTACAGATATGTCCCTCACGAATTTCCGCTAGGACTGAACATGCGGTTAGTCCCTGACACAACCAAAATTACAAATCTAACCCTACCGGTTAATGTACAGCCTCGCAGACAAAACCCAGCAGTCAAATCAGCAAGTCGTTGCATATTTCCCTCCACATCATTTCCCTTCGACGCCCACTCCTTTCCCTCTCCCTACTTTGCATTCCGGCTAGCTCCCCTATTTGTCATTCTTTCTGGCTGATCAATTTGAGGTTTTGACCCCATGGGGGGTGGTGGGGAAATACTGTCCGATGATGAGTGCTCGCTTATGCTCTCCCTACCCACCATCATCATCATCACCCTCTTCTTCCCTTTCATCTTCCTCCATCTCCATATAGCTGAGTATCGTTGTGGCAGGCTTGCAGTGCTTATGCGATTAGCACACAATCACAAATCGCCACTAAGTAAAGCTCAATAAACACGTCTGCAGTCACGTGTCACATGGTACATCGGCAGTCGGGTGCCATATCAGCTACACAGCGGCACATGAGCCTTGCAATGTCACCACGCTCTGCCAAGTCATCAGTATCATGTTAGCACACCTTCCCGATGACAACAGTAGGCACCCACTCTACCATCTCTGGCCACTTATCAGACCAAGATGGTTGGGGGCAAGGCAAAGGAGAAGGGTGCTGACAAGTTCCGGGCCAGCCGAGCGACATACTCGCAGCAGTCCAATGAGTCTCTTGACGACTATCTTGCCCGTAGCAGTAGATGGTCGCAGCTGCTGCCGAGAAAGAGCACTTGGGCAAGGAGGAGTAGGAGAAGAAACGGGAGGAAAAAGCCACTCCCAAGTGGCAGGCAGATGAGGAGGTGAAGCTAGAGCTGTTGGTGGGACGGCAAGAGAAGCAGGAGGCAGCTAGGGAGACCCTGTTCGAACAGGTATACTATATTCCCCTCTCACCCAGTTTTGCCTTCAATGTGGGAAACCCGAAGGAGACTAACGCACTGCAGCAGACACAGGTTGGGGCTTCATTGCAGGTGTCATTTCTCGGATTCTGCAGACATGTGTCGAGCAGCAGGGCATTCACATGTTGCACATGTGGATGCCTTGTTGGATCTCGTTTCAATCAGGCACATAACACACAAGGACAGCTTCTTGCTGAAGGGCATTGACGTCGAAATGAAGGCCATGGAGTCCCGAATGACCGACCGTCATGGAAACACCATTGACCTCCACTGCCAGTGCCCCTTATCTTCCAGCCGACGATGTCACATCATTTGATAGCCATATCAGCAATTTGCACACAGGTTTATGGCCATTGCCAACTGTGCGACATCAACTGGCACCAAACCTCCACCTGTCCCAACAAGGTGACTATACAAAGGGAGGGCCAGCACTGTCCAAAGGCTCGACAGGGAAACTGAGCACTGGGGGCCATGATGTGACTTCGTCCCCATTCCTTTGGACACAACTGCACAGCTGCCAGTTCCCTTGTGTCCGGGGTAACCATGGATGTCGCCAATCCTCTTCATTTTGAGGATTTTCAGTTCAGCGTACCAAGCTAACAGGACTGTGGCCCTTTCTTCCACTTGCTCACAGCCCCAGCAGCATCTGGCCCACATTTCTTTGCCTGATGCACAAGGGAATGCATTGTTGATCTGTTTGAATTGTTGTGATGGTTCTTGCAGGGCGCTGCAATTATGGTGCTGACCTGGCACAGGAATTAGTAATGATGCTGGAGGAAACATTGGAGGTGTCAGGTGGCTGTGCCTGGATTTCATTCTCCCGCCGCACTCCCAACAAGGTCTGTGATTCAGCGCTAGCCACCTGTCTCAATTGTCTCGGAGATGTCCCCGCACTCCCGTAGGGTGCCTTAACACTTTTGGGGCTGTTTGTTTAACCTGCCTCAGTTCACTTCATCCTGACTTTGAATTAAAAAGCAAGTCCAAGCCATGAATGCAGCTTTTGCTGCTGTGGCAATGATGACTAGGAAAAGAGACATGGAATGACAACCAAGGAAAGGAGAATTTATGAGAGGCTGAAAATCAGATTCTGGGGAAGGAAACCAAAAAACAAACAAACATGAAGGGATGATAAGAATGGGCAAATTGGGGTAGTGAATTTCCAATGTGAAAAAACAAAGGGGTGCCTGGGGTGGCCAAAATCTTATTATTTTTTAGAGCTTGGCATTCATATTTGCTCTGGATTCGAGTCCGGGTAAGCAGGTGCATCAGTACGTGACACCCTTTCTCACGGAGTGCAATGCCCCACACAGTTGCTATCTGAGATTTTCTGGAATTTCCTTAGAAATGCCATCATCCCCCTTCTGTCTTCTACCGCCGTGGAGGTGTGTGTGTGTGTGTGTGTGTGTGTGTGTGTGTGTGTGTGTGTGTGTGTGTGTGTGAGAGAGAGAGAGAGAGAGAGAGAGAGAGAGAGAGNGAGAGAGAGAGAGAGAGAGAGAGAGAGAGAGAGAGAGAGAGAGAGAGAGAGAGAGAGAGAGAGGTACTTGTGCCAGAGTGTTTTGAAAGGTTCTGTGTAGGGCCTTGGACTTGGAGTGCGCATGTGAGGCTTCAGGCCTCGACGAGCCTCAACAGGAACTGCCTGCTGAAAATAGGCCCGTCCCTAAGTGAAGGCGTGGGAGTAAATTTGCCAGCGCTGAGTGAAGGCTGGCGTGATACGGTTCGAATGAGGCTGGACCCGAGCCTTGCCAACTAACCACGAGGCCTGAGTTAGTTGCTGAGGCTGGAACCCATGTCCAGGTGTAGTTGGTTTCTGAAACTCACACCCAGCCTCCGGGAAGTAACAAGAGAGAGGAGGCCGCTGTATTCTACACATTCGGAGGGACTGATTGTCAGTGCTAGCTCTGCACGAGCGCACAGGGGCCAGTGCAGCGCTCGTTTAAAGAGGAACGTGAATAGCAGCAGCGATAGCTGCTCTGCCCAGCGGCAGACATAGGTGCGCTGGGAGTGGCAGTGGCGTTGGTGCTGAGTGTGGGGTGACTGTGAGAGGGACAGCAGTGGGGACAGGTGGGCTTACCTGGTGCTGGTGATGGCCAAGGAACATGCTCTTATTCTTAGCTGTCAGACTCTGCAGCATTGTTAGGCGAGAGGAGAGTAGAGAGAGAGAGAGAGTTTGAGGGAGGAAGTAGGAGTTGTATAGGGAGAGAATAGGGGGGGGGTATAGGCGGTGAAACGACCGTTTCGTCAAAATGGACATCTTTGATTTTTTGAACGAAATTGAAACCGAGTTTTTTGGCCCAAAACTCGTCAAAATTTGTTGTTCCTGAGGGTCCAGCGTTTTACAAACAAACGCTGGACCCCCTGGCTGTACATGGACCTAGCTTGAGACCAGGCACCTCCAGGCAGGACTGCGTGGAGGTACCTGGTCTCAAGGACACTCAGGAACAGCAAATTTTGACGAGTTTTGGGCCAAAAAACTCGGTTTCAATGTCGTTCAAAAAATAAAAGATGTCCATTTTGACGAAATGGCAGTTGTGACATCATAGTAGAGACTTAGCTGGTGATGGCCAGACTCTGCAGCGTTGTTAGGCGAGAGGAGAGTGGAGAGAGAGAGAGAGTTTGAGGGAGAAAGTAGGGAGTTGTATAGAGAGAGAGTAGGGGAGTAGTCTAGGCGGTGACATCATAGTATAGGTGTTACATAGTGGAAGTCAGCAGAGGCAAGAAGTTGGGCTTTCTTTATCAAGAGACTTTGGTGTCAGTGTGTTCTCAGTTGGTGCACTCTCGGCCATGTAATTCTGCTTTTGACTTTGCTGACTTTGCTCCATATATGTTTGTCCTGCTCTGAGTCTTTTGCAGCGCAGAGAAAAGGCGTTCCAATTGATTGGTCCGTTGCTCAAATCTGAACAAGAATATAAACAAAAATATAAACCTTTCACTGCCCTCTGGTCTGGATCAATCTGGACGTCCAGATGTTATCTCGATCAATCATAGGAATGGCAGTAGGCAGAGGGTGGAGGACATCATAGAAATGAAGCTGGAGAGGAGGGCGGGGGGAGTGGGTATGAACTTTGAAGTTTGAAGTGGAAAGGAGGCTATGCTCCGTGTGACGCTGGAATAGGTGGTTCTCAGCCAGTCCCGGTCCTTGCACCGGACTCCCATTTATTTTCTCCTCTCTCCTCCCTACCAGGCTATCCGTGCTCAAGCATATAGCCAGATTTTATAACTGCCCTAAAGTTGACAGTATAACCATAACGCCAGAAACTAAAGCGATGCTTGAAAAAATAGAAAAAAGTATCATTGTAGTGATTAATATTTCTCTAGCTAGCGAGCCTACGGCCTTGTAGCTCACACCCTTGGCCTGGGCCAGCTTGAGATGGTGTGGCAGAGTTGGAGCCGCCCTGCAATCGAGATCTGCGACCTGGGCGCACTCAATAATTCCTTGCATCATAGGAGTGGCTGCATCTTGAAATCCGTATTGCCAAGGCTCTTGCACCGGACCCCCGTGTATGTTTTTATTTGCTTGGCTGTGTTTATTCATCTGACTTCCAAAATCATTGTTGCGTTAATGTTTCGTTGATTGATTTTGACAATTGCATGCGGATTTCCTGTTTGCCTGAGGGCCAAGTGTGCTCTGGTATATAACTGATAAATAAGAGCTCTTGGCCTATTTGAATTGACTCAGCAGATACTGGCACTATACCGACTCTGACGAGTATTGAGCTTTTCGCAATCAGTGGATTTCGTGGACCTCATGATGCAGGTAAAGGAGCATGTAAGGGATCGGCTAAAGGACCATCCAAGGATATCAATATGGGATGGACAAGGTTTGTGCCCTTGCAGAAATCATGGCCAACTTTCTTTACGCTAAGTTCTCCTCGCTAATATAGAATAAACACCACCATCGCCCAACAGCGCCCTTCTGCGGCCTTTCAGAATTGCCCATGGACGTTGGTCTTGAACTGCTAGGACTCTAAGTGGGAGCTGAGAGGCTGGGTGAGAAGAATGACCGCCTGATGAGACTGATGATGACGTAATAGCTGAAATGCATCGGGGTATGCGCATGTTTCAGCTGTGGTTGAATTGGTCTGTACGCCATTTAAGTGTCTGTTGACTGTGTCCTGAGGGAAGCAGACCACATATCCGAGTTCTCAAGCGAACCAAGCACAGGCTGCGCAAAGTTGGCGCTCTGTGAATCACTATCGTCACAACTTGCCATGCTTGTAGACCAACCAAAATGTGAGACCAATCAAGATGCCAGACCGAATCAAAACGTCTAAGCCACACCGGGGAGTTCTTTTTTATGGTGAACCAGGGTTGTCAAACGGCCTACGGCCGACGCCGACCGTAGGCCGTCGGCTCACCTACCAGTCAGGACGACCCATAGGCGGACTGGGCGGCAGTCTGTAGAGGGCCGTTCACTGTTTTTTTTTTTCAAATCTGAGTTCAGGGTTGTACTGCACTTGCTGGGCTGTCTCTTATACACATCTAGATGTGTATAAGAGACAGGTTCTACACTGACCTACTGGACTGGACTCCTAGGAC